ATTTAATTTGTGTATTTATATATGTGTATATTTAGTGTGTATATTTATTTTATAATTCACATCATTAGTTAACAAAAATATGATATTTTAAATAGTTTTATACTAGTACATAATTTGGATGTCCCATAATTTATTTAACCATTTTCCTGTTGTTGGACAAGTTTGGGTAATGACATTTTAAAATAATTTCATATTTTGTTAATAGATAAGTGATACGAATTTTTTATCTAAGGAGTCTTTATTCCCTGATGGGGAAGGAAACTGTACTATTACCACTAAGATGTCAAAGAGAAAGAGTCTGGGTGCCTGCTTTAGCAGGCCCATGGATAACTGTTCTTGGGCAGGGGCATGCAGAAAGGGGAATGTCAGAATTGTGGCTTTGCTTGGCCAAGACCTAGATTTAATCAGCATCATCAAGGGTCAACATGAACCAAAATGCTAGTATATCTATTTATAATAAGAAATTTTTACGGCTAGATAAGTTAGTTGAAATATTTGTATCAACTAGGCAGTCGGTAAGTTCTCTTGGAATCCCAAATTATTACCAAAAAATTGATTGTTAAATACAGATCAAAGTGAACCCTAATTTGAAAACCAGACCAACTTCAGGAAGTTGTGTTCTTTGATGGTTTGATATTAGCCATCCATAGACATGTTTAACTTAATTGAGCTTCAGTGTGATGCCATCAACCTCTTGAGCAATACATTAAGATTAAAAAACCCAGCAAAATTCATCATGTTAAATATAAGGATGTAAGAGATTTGGGGGCAGAGTTCATTACATTATATAGGACCCTCTTTATGAAGATGCTCAGGACAATGCTCCTTCTGGCCTTACTACTAGGAACTGTTGTATGATTTGGTTTTCCTTTTTTTTTTTTAATTCTTATTTATATAAATTACCATCTATTTGACGAGGTTTTCCAGATCTATGTTATCCATCAGGAGCTTCCTGAGCTTTAGACATAAATAGCCAACTACCTTTAGAATACCTTCAGTCTTAGCAACTTCAAACTCAGCATTTCCAAAACTCAACATCTTCCCTCCCTGCTCATCTTATATAAGTTGCCCCTCCTCCTCTCTTCTGAATCTCAGTGAATGATCCCCACAATCACCTGGTCAAACCACCAAAGTAAAAACATCCAAGATTTTTCCTTCTTTCTCCCAAATTGCCTCCATCCAATTACCTAGTCTTTTTATTCTGCCTTTCTCAAATGCATTCACTTTTCTTCATACCACTGGTGTTATCCTTGTAGAGGCCACCATTATTATCTCTTTAATTTACTACAGAAGCCACTAATGAATTAAATTTCCTGCTTTCTGCTTTGCTCTCCACAACATTCTCCACATTGTAGCTGGAGTTATCCTTTTTAAAGTAAAACTCAGATCACATGATTCCTCTGTTTTACAATGCTCTAATCACTCTCCTCCCTGACTCCTTAAAGTCTCACCTCCTTACCATGGTTTATAAGGCCTTACGCAGCAGTTTATTTAGTACCTCTCTAGTTTTATCTCTTGCCCATCTGTCATCCCATTCTCAAGTCATTGTTTTTGTTTTTCCAGTTTCTGAAATGATTGTTATCCCTCTTTCCACCATGTTTTTGTACACAGCGTCCCTTGACATGAATGAACACTTTTTCTTTCCTTTCTTATCCTGTGTCTTCCTTTTTTTCTTTTCAAACTCATCTTTCAGTTCTCAGCATCAATGGCAATTTGTTTTAGTAACCTTCCTGACCATCTGGTTTAGCTACCCTTCATATGTAATTTCAAACCATCCTGTACAATATCTTCTTACTGCACTAAAAACTGTCAAATGAAGAAAACCTGGTCTTGGTCACTTTTTAATCTCCAGCATCTAACACAATGCTGAGTACTTATTATTTGTTAGTCTCTGTTCTAAAGCTTTTGCATTATATCATTTGATTGTCACAGCTCTATGAAGTTTGCATTATTTGTATTCTTTTATAGAAGAAATAGACCTAGAGATATTTAAATAACTTTTATTAAGTCATCCTGTAAGTGGCCAAGCCAAGAACTGGACCCAAGCAATTGATTCCAGAGCCTGAACCCTTAACCACCACTGTCTCCCTTTCAAGCAAATGAATGATAAAACCTGTTTTAATTTATCATCTTGATATACTTTATCTTTGTGTACTACCTCAATTCTGCTGTGAAATAAAATGGAGTAGAAATAAGTCAGAGTACAGAAAATGGAAAGATAGACTTATCTTTACATTATACATTCAGTATTCTTTACATTCTTACACATTCAGCAAATATTTGTTAAGTTCTGGCAGTATAATTTTCCTGTATTCTATAGCAGTTTTACAGTGCTCTTCCCTAAAATACACATGTTGGAAGAGCACGAAACCCTTTTTCTACATAGTGGATAAACTGTCTTATGGTAATGGTGACCATATAGTTTTATATTAGTGGCAGAGATTTAGGAGTCACCCTTGCTTCTAAGTGAAATTTGGGATATACCCTAATCTTATCAGCCACATCTGATCTGATTTTACAAACCATCTCCTGGGATAGAGTCCTACTGTCCTGGCTAATCATGTTCATTATATGCTGATTTTCAATGGCTTCAGTATTAGAGAATGACTTTATTTTTAATTCTGAAGATCTGCCTTATTTGAAACATACAGCTTCTCCTTCCCTGCACATGTACTGACTATACTTTAATATTGATCAACTTTTAGTAGATTTGAGTGTTTGATGTTTAAGCCTCATACTAGACCTTATATAGGATATGATTCGTTTTTTTATTTCCTTTGTACTAGGTTCATGAAAGAAGTGTTCAGTCAGACTTCCTACTAATTATATTGAAGGAAATTTTACAGAAACGTTCTGATCTACACTTGATTCTAATGAGTGCCACTGTGGACAGTGAAAAATTTTCTACATATTTCACACACTGCCCTATTCTCAGAATTTCAGGAAGAAGTTATCCTGTTGAGGTAAATTTTCTTTTTAAGGTGCATGTAAGCAGAAACTACATTCCCCCCCAAGGGAGTTTCCGCAGAAGATAGGCCCTTATAGTCTGAGCTCAGAACTATTCCTAGGTACAGCAAGTCAGCAGAGGACCTGGAGACAGCTTTGAGAATCACATGACTGGTGCTGCCTTGCCTGAGGGGTGGGTAGGAGAGAAAACAGGGTTTTGATGAAAGACAGACCTGAGGGCTACAGAATATAAAACTTATTTTTACATCGTCATTATGTCCAGATTACGAGTGGCTACCTGGCAGTAAGGAACTCCTTTTTTACCCACCCTTCAAATTTGGGGTTGTCTTTGAAGCTTTCTTTTCTGCATATTCTATTCTTAATGCTTACCTTTTTAGTTCAGCTGATAAAATCTACACTTTTAACTGTTTTCACATAAAAAGAAAAATCTATACACCATAATGTAATTTGCCCTGAGACTTTAGGGACAATCCATTTATATCAACCAAGTTCTTCATTCCCAAATGATACTAAAAAAAATTTTTTTTTGTGATATTCTAAATTAGCCTTTGGTGACATTCAAAAGGTGATGATCCCCTTGTACTCTTTATTTTTTGTTTTGTTTTTTTCTTTTTTTGCTCTCTCTTTTTTTTTTTTATCAGAATATTATGGGGGTACAAACGTTTTGGTTACATAAATTGCTTTTGTATAGTTCGAGTCAAAGTTATTGTACCTGCCCTTGTTCTCTTTAAAATGATATTTATTGAAATGAATTTGAATTCACCCACTTACATGCCTTACTCTGTGCAGGTTTTTCATCTTGAAGATATAATAGAAGAAACAGGCTTTGTGCTGGAGAAGGACTCAGAATATTGTCAGAAATTTCTGGAGGAGGAAGAAGAAATAACCATTAATGTTACAAGCAAAGCAGGGGGAATAAGAAAGTATCTGGTAAAAAGAAAACATTTTGCAAGATGTTTGATGATGATATCCAGGGCATAACCTACCATGAGAGTTATGCCCCAAGAGTTAAAATCATATGGTTAACATGGTGAATTTGAGTATAATTTGGTAGAAGAGGAACAGATATGAGTATGAGCAAATATTAAAGGTCATTTCTTTAATCTTTATTTCACAGACTGTAGTCTTTGATTTGTGATATTTTAACTGTATTTTTACACGATTCTGGGCCATTTAGGTACGGATATAAAATCAAGGACCATATAAGTAAGAAACAACTTCTTATAAAAATTTCATGCCAATGATCAATTGTTGACCAAATTTATAGTGATTTTCTCTACTTTGTCTCAACACCGTAGGTGATCGGTCTGGATGGAGCAGGCCCAAAACCTAGATCCTTGCCTTTGGTTTTCTTAGCAGCCTTTGTCCTCGCAGAAGCCAACCTTAGCTCTATAGTGAAGCTCTATAGTGAAGCTATCTATGGCAAGCATAGTTCTTCCTAGGGCATTAGTCTAAATTATGTGTGTTTAGAAATACCACAGAAGCTACATTCTCTTGCATTTTAGCCAGGGGTACTAGATCCAGCATTTTCATTATGTCCATGATATTTTATGCATATATGCAATCTGGTGAAAACACAAAGTTCAAGTTACTTTATCTTTTAGTAAACAGATAAACCAAGAAAGCATAAACTGAAATTTTTCCCTAAAACACTGGAGATAGAAATTACAAATTAAGAAAGATTTCAGAAACGTATAGTTCTTTCAAAAGAGATGATTGGAATTCAGTAGCCAAAGTAGAACGTAGAAGGAATAAGGCAGGTATAAACTACTTATTAAAGTTATTCTGATCTCTCTTGGCCTGGCTGCTTTTTAATTACCACAGAATGATGCATACATGATTGTAATATGTTTTTTAACAATTCTTCTTTTAGTATATACATGACAAGATAAAAAGATTTTGCTATAATTAGGAGCTGGATGAAATTAAATTATAGGAGAGAGAGGAAATTTTCTGAAACTTTTTCCACTTTTTAAAAATTGTACTCTTCCTGTGTTTTAACAAAATAATGGTGACAATGAGAAAAATAAGATTTGAATGAATACCTCCTTTTTTCCTTCTTTGTCTTATTAAAACACTTAATGTTTTTGTTCAGCTCCCTCTGGTTGGGTTTCTTTTAGGAATACATCCCAGTTCAGACTGGAGCAAATGCTGATTTAAATCCATTTTACCAAAAGTACAGCAACCGTACTCAGCATGCTATTCTCTACATGAATCCTCATAAAATCAACCTGGATCTCATTTTGGAACTTCTTGCATATTTAGGTATATTTCTTTTTCTAATGTGTCTCCATTTGTTTTGATAAAACATTTCTACTAATGGGAGATCTTTTATTAATATTTTATGTGTTGTTCCTTATTTTAAATATTGTATCTTTTTTTAAAATTTCAGACAAAAGTCCCCAATTCAGAAATATTGAAGGAGCAGTATTGATCTTTTTACCAGGTCTTGCTCATATTCAACAGTTGTATGATCTCCTGTCAAATGATAGAAGATTTTATTCTGAACGGTAACTATACATCTTCATTTTATTCCTGGTAGTTTTAACACATTGTCTGCCACACAAAAAAACCAGAAACTTTTCTTTGGGGCCACAGTGTTTTGTTAGGATAATAGAATAAAAACTTCAAGTGTAATTTAAAGGTAAACATAAATAGAAAAATGAAATTTATTGACTTCTATTCATTTAACCCATGTTTTTAGAATTGTCAATATCAATTGTAACAATAAGAACATTGACAAGTAAGATTTTATATATGTTTGATGTGGCCCCAGCATTCAAAACTAGAGTGAGTTAAATACAACTCTCATGGCAGTTAATATGTTAAAATAGAAAACGGCTTGGTACATTAAAACTCATGATCAGAGTTTTCAGTCTTTTCACCTTTAGTTAAAATTGTCCATTGTGAAACAAGTTTTCTTTTTGTTTTTTTACATTTCTATTTTAGCATTTTATCTACTAAAAATTTTTAGGTACTATATCTGCATTTGTTCCATTTTCTGAATATGATATGCAGAGGGGATCGTGTGGTTAAGAGTAAGGTGGTGACTCCCCTCTCCCAACCCACTCAATTGTACAAAACCCTGGCAAGGTTGCTGTTTATCATCCATACTTATTGAATCAGCTATTTACTATGTCTTTTATGATATAGCTTAGTACTGTTGTAATGGTTATCACTTCAACATTAGAACATTTTTTAACCTTATATTTCGTATAATTTATTCATATTAAATTTTTTTCTCCATGATGGGTATATATGGGGTTTCATTGTACCATTCTGTGAACTCTTGTGTTTAAATTTTTTCATAATAAAAAATTTTTAAGTTGCTTCCTATATGCAAATAAATTTTGTTATTCTTTGCAGTGTCTTCTAAAGAGAAACTCTTGCTAAGAACTATGATTTTAACTTTCAGATATAAAGTGATAGCTCTGCATTCTATTCTTTCAACCCAAGATCAAGCTGCAGCATTCACACTCCCTCCTCCAGGAGTCAGGAAGGTAAAATTCAGTACAGCAAACTTATATGTGATCCACCTGAGAGTATTTCATCACAGCATTATGACTTTTTATCATCAAAGTCAGTTGTTAATATTAAGTGCCATATAGTACATGGCAGACTCCGAGCAGGTTAACATAATGAGAAGTAAATCCAATATTAAAAGTCAAGCAATTTGAATATTTACATTTACATTTAAGGGACCAGACTTTTGGGGGGAGTGGTAGTTGAAAAATGTGGTATGGATGTTGCTTGCAAAAAAAATAAATAAATCACTACTTTTTCCCAAGAAAGCATCATGAAGGAGATTGGATGTCAGAAGCTGTTTAAGTCCTGGGTGGATTTTTGTTCTCTAGGCTGTTCATCCCTGATTATTTTTATAGTACATAGACCATTAGGTAGGTGGAAAAAATCTCAAGAGTTTTCATTGTATCCTCTGTTCAGGATTCTGAATGAAAGTTGCTTAGCAAAGAGTTTCTCAGATTTTTTTATTTTTATTTTTATTTTTTATTTTTATTTTTTTAGACAGGGTCTTACTCTGTCTCCCAGGCTGGGGGACAGTGGCATGATCATAGCTCACTGCAGCCTTGAATTCCTGGGCTTCACGTGATCCTCCTGCCTCAGCCTTCTAAGTACCTGGCATGCGCCACTTCACCCAGCTAATTTTTCTATATTTTATAGAGACAGTGTCTCACTATGTTGCCTGGGTTGGTCTCAAATTCTTGATCTCAAACGATCCTCCTGCCTAGGCCTCCTAACAGGTTCTCAGATTTTGAACCCTCTCTCAGGAGAAAAAAGAGTACAGTGTGGTAAGTGTGGGGACCACAGAGCATCTGGAAAGAACTTGACTGTAATGCAGGAGGCCAGGGCTCTAGTTCCTAAAGTGCTGCCATCTGAATAGCCTTTGGCAACCACTAAACCTCACTTAAACTGATGGCTTTCTAACTGTGCTCTAAGAACTGGAGAGTTTCTGAGGCTGTGCTCTGATCTGTAACATTTATGCTTCCATGTAAGATTTTATTGAAAGAAGAGTTCCATCCCTTAACAATAAAATTTGAACTCTGCTGATGTAGAATGATGACATAGGTCCCATGCAGCTCTTACTAATAATCTGGGTTCCATTTCCTAGGATAAATGAGTAAGAAAAGCAATCATGCGATATTGAACTACACAGTTGAAATAGAGTAATACATATTAAATTTGACCTGGAATTTCCTAAATGTTTTATCTCCAAGGATTCAACAGAAAAAAATGCAGAAGATTGCACTATTCAGCCATCATTGTTAAGAACTTTAGAGCTAGACCTAAGAAATCATCCATTTCTACCTCCCAATTTACAGTTGAGGTAACTGAGGCCCAGAGAGGTAAAGTGACTTACCCTAGGTCACAAAGCTAATAAGTAACACAGCCAGGACAGCAACCCAGTTCTTCTCTTTAATGTGCTATTTTTTTTCCTAATAATTGTGAAGGGTTGTGCTGAGCTATCTCCATTCTCTGACCCAGCTTCCTATTCTACTTCTGTCATTTTTAAGATGACTGACTAGAATTAGGGGAATGATATTTTTGTTAGAATAAAAGTCTATAACTTTAATTAGCAAGCTGAGCTGATGAAACTAATGAGAGCATATTAAAATTACACAATAGCAAATAGATTATAAATTTCTGTGAATAACATTGAAATTCACTTTTAAAAATCCATCAGCTCAAACTATCTAAAGAAATTTAAATGATAGTATATTGCTGAAAGTTGCCTAAATGCTTTAGCTTTTTGTTTATTTTCAGATTGTTTTAGCAACAAATATTGCAGAGACGGGTATCACTATTCCAGATGTTGTATTTGTAATTGATACTGGAAGAACAAAAGAAAATAAGTAAGTTTGAATTTCCAAAATCAAAACATTTTTCACTTGGGGCTCTTAGATTCTTAGGAGAAATCATAGAATTATATAGGAAAAATCCCAAATGTCCTAATTCTGCCCAAAGCAAGAAGCCTTAGAGAAACTATAGGAAACTTTAAAATGTCTTAGAGTAAATGTCAGAATTTCATGTCATGAGTTTTCCCATAAATAATGCCAGTGTACTGCTACTTTTAGAAAAACACTGAGAAAATTTTCAGAACATAAATTTTTATAGATCCTTTTTTATTTGTAAAATAAATTATTTAAGAAAAAGCATTATTTGTGGGGTTATAAAAAAAGAACATGGGTTTTGGAGTCATAGCTAGATTTAAATCTCTTGAGCGAGTAATATAACCTCTCTAATCATCAGTGTCCTCATATGTAAATGGGGAAAATGAAAATTTCATATCTGAAAGTGCTTAGTACAGTAACTGGAACATAATAGGTAACCATAACTAAATCTTCAACAGAAAGATTACTACATTATAATGTTTATATTGTATAAATAGAGGAGACCACCTTTAGTAATGTATTATAATCTACATATACTATCGCCAATATTAGGAAACTGTAGCAATATTTGAAAAACAATATTCAATAGAAGATAAATTCTTGATTCTTTGAATTGTGCCTTTAGAGAAAATGTTTTCAGGGTTTGACTGTATCTTGTGAAAGGTACCTTGAATTGTAATGTTCACAGTAGCATTTTTCAAATTATTTCAAAGAATTCTCATTGTATAATTGATATTCCTCTAAAATAAAAAAGATTCCATGATCAGATTAGTTTGAGCAAGGGTAAATTTTTTTTCTTGTGCCAGAGCTTTTAATTTGGTAATATGAGATTTAGTATGCAATGTTTGCTATTTAATAAGTTATTTAAATATGTAACATGATTTGAGAAATGTTGGTCCACTATAATAACGTTTTTTAGCCTATGTTCAACTTAAAGAGTCACATATTCCCAGCTTTTTCCAATTTCGGTTTCAAGTCAATTATCTACATATTCTGTCCTAAAACATTTCTTTAGGTACCATGAAAGCAGTCAGATGAGTTCTTTGGTCGAGACGTTTGTCAGTAAAGCCAGTGCTCTGCAGCGCCAGGGTAGAGCTGGGAGAGTCAGAGATGGTTTCTGCTTCCGAATGTACACAAGAGAAAGGTATGGCATAGCACTGGAAATTTCAAGCCCAGAAATCAGTACTGTGTGACATTTCTGATAATGTATATTTAGTATTATTTTTTTTTGTTTTTCAGATTTGAAGGCTTTATGGACTATTCTGTTCCTGAAATTTTGCGTGTACCTTTGGAGGAATTATGTCTTCATATTATGGTAATCCCAGGCGGAGGTGCAGATGACTTTTGTTCTTCATTTCTTTCTAGAAAAAAATGAAGACCTAAATTTATCTACCTTGTATTGCTTTACATTTTCAAGTATTTTACTCTTTAATGTATGTCCCTTTCCATCTTTTTATAACTAAATCCTCTGTGTTTTGATTTTGCCATATATACTCACACTTTATAGATTAGAATATGGCCTCATAACCTAGACCAGTAATTCTCAACTAGGGCCAGTATTGCCTGCCAGGGGACATTTGACAATGTCTGGAGACATTTTTGGTTGTCATAATTGGGCAGGGGGAAAATACTACTGGTATCTAGTGGATAGAGATCAGTGATGTTGCTAAACATCTGACAGTACACAGGACAGCTCCCTAAAAGAAAGAATTATCCGGCCCTAAATATCAGTAGTGCTGAGACTGTGGAACCCTGACCTAAATCAAGGTCTTTCTAGACTGAAAGATATATAATACCCTTCATTTCTTAAGTTTTTGACTATAAAAATCAGGAATGAAAAAACTAAAAATGTGGGTTGGAAGATCTCATCTTTATGCATTCCCCCCCCAAAAAACACACATATACTCACTTACTCTCTCTCCCTCTCCCCCTTCCATTATAAGAAAAATAATAGAATAGTCGTATTCACAATTTTACCCTCTTTGCTCAAAATTTTACTGAACTGAGATTTAGTTCCAATATCATGTTTTGGGGTAATGTTAATTGTTTCTGATCATATACCAATTTTATCATTCTTTTTTAATCTGCAGAAATGTAATCTTGGTTCTCCTGAAGATTTCCTCTCTAAAGCCTTAGATCCTCCTCAGCTTCAAGTAATCAGCAACGCAATGAATTTACTCCGAAAAATTGGAGCTTGTGAACTAAATGAGCCTAAACTGACTCCATTGGGCCAACACCTTGCAGCTTTACCTGTGAATGTCAAGATTGGCAAGATGCTTATTTTTGGTGCCATATTTGGCTGCCTTGACCCAGTAGTAAGTCAAAAATGATGCTGCTGCTACTTCACTTTAAATGTCATTTGGCCAGGAAATTATTAAATTTGGAAACAATGTTTAAGTTTTAATTTAAATGTTTTTTAGCTAACTAGAATGTCTATACTAACATTAAAACCCAGGGGGCCTAAATGCTTAATGAAAATTTTTTAATATAATATTTAACTTTTTATGTTTATATACTGGAAAATCCATTCATTTACTTAAGCATACAGTAGGTACTATTTTGTGAGTTTGGCTTGTCTAGAATTTTACTATCAAACAACCCACATAAAATATTTATTTAATTGAATATGTAGTGGACAATTCTCAGAAAGCTTTGAACACCACAGACTTCGAGAAATAGAATCAAAAATTTTTTCGTTTCGTTTTCTGGGTTCTCTTTCTGAGGCAGTAATTATCAGAGTTCTGTTTTCTCAAATTATCTCAGAATTAACAAATTCTGTGCATATGTCTGGGTCTCTGGGCATTTATGCCTGCTGTGCCATTCATTCCAACTTTCCAACTTTATCAAGCTGTGGCCTTTTCTGGGATTATAAGTTGAGGCTATATTAAAAACAGAATGGAGAGAATGTGACTTATTATTCTGGGATTTTTCTGTAGTATTAGAAATAGGTACTCACCAGAATTGTGCCCAAGTTCAAAAAATAACCTCTTTCATGATGGTTTATCTGGTAACCTGCAACAACAAATGGGTTGTTATGTAGTCCAAATTATTTTTAAAGAGCATTGCAGACAATGGAAATTCAACAGTCTAGGAGTCAAGATAACTAAGATTGCATCTAGCTATATGACAATAAATCACTTATACAAATGTTTAGTTTTTTTGTCGGATTCTGGTGATATTACCTCCTTATCTCACATAAATGGTATAAAAATAAAGTGATATATTTTTTAAATTTCATAAAATGAAACTAAAAGTAACTATTTAAAATGAAAATAACTTGACCCCAGGAGTTTGTTGAGGCCACGGTGAGCTATGATGATGCCACTGCACTCCAGCCTGGGCGACAGAGCAAGACCCTATCTCTTAACAAATAAATAAATAAGTAAAATGAAAATATAAATTAGCTATGGTAGAACATGATAAATGTACTAAAAATGAGGAACAGGCAACTTAAAGTGTGATTGTTTTATAATATGCATTCTTTTACAAATTAACTGCCTTGTATACCTCTTTAGTGACAAATTGTTTCCTTATTTATGGATAGGCAACACTGGCCGCAGTTATGACAGAGAAGTCTCCTTTTACCACACCAATTGGTCGAAAAGATGAAGCAGATCTTGCAAAGTCAGCTTTGGCCATGGCAGATTCAGACCATCTGACGATCTACAATGCATATCTAGGGTAAAGAAATGATCTAGGTGTTATCAGTAAGCCAATGACCTGAGGTTATTTACTTTTTTAAAAAATTTATCTCTATCATTAAAATTATACATCTAAGATTTTAATTTATTTTTAGTTATTTCATCTGTCAAGGTATAATTATTTTAGAGATTTATATGTTTTATAATCCTAAAATTTAAGAACCATATACATGATATTATATGTATATTATCTCATATTTGTGGTAACAATAACTTATTATTACACATAAACAGAAAAAATATCTATTGCAGTTGAATTTCTTATACACGATGGGTAGCTGCTACAATGAGCAAGACCTCTCCTTTTTAAATGATCATAATTTATTTAAATCTTAACTTTGGTTACTAGCTCTGAAAGAGTTTGCAAAGAAAACATGGTGACCTTTGTTCATTGATTAACATTTTATTTATCTAGATGGAAGAAAGCACGGCAAGAAGGAGGCTATCGTTCTGAAATTACATATTGCCGGAGGAACTTTCTTAATAGAACATCACTGTTAACCTTAGAGGTAATTCTTAATTCAGCTCCCTAATTCAGAGTCATATGGATAACTATAATAGGTTTATTTTAGAAAAAAGAATGCCTAGGATAGTGCATGACACATAGGAAGGGCTTAGTAGATATTTGTTAAATTAATATATTTGTGATTTTTTTTGTTTCTTTCAACAAGTAACCTATATGTATTACACAGTTTAAAATAGTATTTAACAATGATAATATATTTAAGAA